GTAGGAACAGACATTTGCAAAGGAAAGTATCTGTAGAATACCTGAAGAATGATGAATACGTCTCTGCTAAACAGCCATATGTAATAGTGTATTTACCTACACATATAAGTATGTTGTACGTATGTAGGAGGAGGCTGTATGTGTTTTCTATGTACGTAGGAGGGCTTTACAGTGCAAACAGACAAGAGAGATGTTGGTACTTGAGACTGGAAACAAGTGTGCAGGTGGTCCCATCATATCTGCATTTTAACTCTGTATAGATCTATATAGCAGTTTGTCAGTAATTTCACACTTGAGGACTAGCTTTTTACTGCAGTTGCTGACTAGTAGGAAACAGGCTGGTTTATCATGAATTTATTATTGAATTAAAGTTTTTTCATGTTGTGAGCCTTTTGGTTGGTTTTGCTTTTAATCTAGCCTTAAGTCAGAGTTTCCCTTTGTTTCCAGTCCTTTGTTTCTAAGCTGATAAGTCTTTGTTAATTTGGAGCACACTGTGTTCAGTCTTATTTGTAAAAAATGGGAAAAAAAAAACCCCAACCCAAAACACTGAAGTCTGGCAAGAGATGAAGGCTGTGAAACAAACAGCCACCAGGAAAGATGTCGAAGAGAAATATAAGGATCATGCTGAAAAGCATTTTTTCAGCAGAAATAAAGTCATTCGTTGGGATGTTTCTAGGGTAAAAAGAAGCCCTTCTATTTTCTATAAGGGAGGAGTCACCAAGAAGCACGTGTGAATTATGCTTTCAGAGGTCTTTTTCCAGCCTACATGCAGCAATAGAGTGTCAGCCAAAGCAGCAGCCAAACAGATAGATAGTGTTTTTTGAAAATACTCCAGTTGGTAAATAGGTTTAGGCTTCAGCTTGCAACTAAAGTGATTTTTCAGAAATCTTTCTTCAGTGTTTTTTTTCCACAGTGTTTCTGAATGACTTGCAGTTTTTTATTCGAAGACACAATTAATTCCAAGTTGTAACTACTTAAAACATCTTAAAATTTATTCCACGCTTGTAGGTTTTACACAGCTGTAACCTCACTAATTACTGGAATTACTTACAATGTATAACCTGGAGTTGCTTCCAGTTAGCAGGAGAATCCTATGCTGGACTTTGCCGTACACTTTTTAAGAGCCTGAGGCAACCCCCATGGAGATAATGTTAGTATAAGAATTTGCAATGTTAAAGCAAATGAGAATTTTGTGGTGATGTTGATTAGATGTCAATGGAGCACTAGTAGAGAATTAGATCCTTTAATCCAAAAGTTTCAGTGTTTATTTTATCCAGTGCTGAATTAGTCAGTTGATCTCATGTTGTGACCCTTCTGTAACAGAAGTACATAATTATAGAGCAAAACGTGATTTTTGTTTTAAAAGAAAAATCTTAACCAACATAATTTTTAACAACAACGATGACAAAAAAACCCACAAACCCACCCAACAAAATGCTAGCAGGATACAATTTTCTATTTTATTAAATTGTCTGTTTCAGTAAGTAGAGGCTTCTTAAATATCTGAAGTACTCTTTTTTGCAAATTTCTGTTCATTATGTGGAAAATCATCAAACAAGTGGAGAACAGAGTCTTATTAGTTCTTGATGTGAGCAACTTTTTTCTTGTCTAGTCTTATCTTGTCTATACCCTGTCAATTATCTATAAACAATGAAAACTTTCTGAAATTAGATGTTATAATCTCATACTACAAAGCATACTGCATGCAGCACAATGCCTAATTTTGCTAGAAAAAATAATTAATGAGCTGGAAGCATATGGCTTTAAGACCAGTTGTTATTTGATTACCTTTGCTGTGTGGGAACAGGAGATTTGCCAGATCCCATAAGAATTTTACAGAATATTTCTGAAGAGTTAATTTTCCAAAACAGAAGAAAATAACAACCTAAATTTTGTTGGCTTTGTGCATTTTAAATAACATTACATTCATAATTTGATTTTTTCAGTTTTCCTTTGTGTAATACAAAATAACGACTGTTTTTAATAAATTATTTTCCTGAAAGCAAAGAATAGAAGCTTAGTCACAATTTGTAAATATTTTTGCACAATCAATCAATATATAATTCATGATATGATGCCTTCCTTACGTGATACTACATATTGCCTACATTTACTAGGAGATGCTGAATTCAGCTTGTGCTCACGTTTGATGTTGATAGGCACATACTAGCATTGTTAAAAAGAGTCAGTAATGCGAGACTACAATGTGACTGATCTAAAGCCTCCCAAAGAGTTATTTTCACAGCTTAATCCCACTCCTGACAGAAATAATCTTTGCAAAAGTAGTCTTTGAGAGTTAATAGGGAGCCGGTGTGCTAAGACACAGGCTGTGACCCTTGAATTAGCCTCCAGCCTCTTGGAACACGTATGCCAGTCAAGTCTGGGAGGGTGGACCATTGTGGTTCATGCGATGCGCCTCTGTCTCTCTCATCTGCAGGTGAAAAAGCAGGCTGGCTTTGTCCTGAGGTGATATAAATATACTTAAGCAATGACCTTAGGGAATTACAGTTGTGTTTTGCAAACTATACGTAGTATTGAGGATACTTTTTCTGTGACACAGGGGGGAACATGTTAAAGAAGCAGCTATTTCGACTGAACTGGGCTTGGATTTCACTGGAGAAAGAGAACTACGTCGCAGATGAGAACTCCAGATTTCTGGAGGTGACCATCAGACGCAGAGGATATCTGCGAGAAACCTCTTTTATCAGTAAGTAAATCTTTAATGTTTGAAGCTTCTTGCACCAGAAAAAGCAGCTGTTAAGGAGCTGTTCCATAGTTGCTGGTTCCTCTGCTTACATAATCAATGTCAAATAATGAGAATAACAATGGTATAGATTTTTGTTGCCTAGACAGACATGGCTACGTGTTTCATTTTCCACTGCTGCCACCCAGAAATCTAAGTGAGTATGTGTATTAGTAGATGTAAGAACAAATCAATAAAATGAACTTCTGCTGTTTGCCCAGTGTCTTTTTCCTGAAGTCACTCGTCAGACAACAAAGCAGAAATTGGGATACTCTGTTTATTTTGACAGGAGGATACATTTTGTAACACATTAACTTTAGCTGTAAGCAAGCAAATCAGTTCTTGAAGTAGCTGGCCTCTGCTTTCAGAACCAAGTTGTGGAGAAGTTAGTTACAACTCCTCACTTCACAAGGGTGGTGTTATGCTGGCCTTTGAGCTATGAGAAAATCTGAAAGCTACAAGAAATTCTCAAAGGGTCGTCTGCTAGCAGAGGTGGCAAGTGTAGAGCAGACTGAAGTTACGAGTGTGCTATCATGGGATAGCAGAATACCCAATTGTGACAGCTCTGCAAAGTAAATAGGAATCATAGAAATCCTTGCACCAATGAAGCGACTCAAAGCGCTGAGCAGAAAGGTCTTTTTCTCCCTGATTTAAAAACAAAAAGAAAAAAGTTTTAAAGTTTTAGGGTTTTTATCATTTAAATCCACGTATGACAATATTTGCTTTGCGCAACACAAATACATTGGGCTATTATCTGAGTATTAATTAAATCAGGCATTTAAAACCTAAGCAGCTGTGGGACAGGAAAACTGTGGGAATTTAGGAATTAAATAACTTAGGAATGATTTCATATTTCACACCCTTCTGAAGCTCTTTGCTAGCCATCAGATTCTCCAGCAAACAGGTAGGCCATTGACTTGAAAGGGATTAGTCATCCTCAACTGAGGAGGTAAAGTGACTCGTAATTGCTGGTGTTGAACCTTAACAAAAAGATGCTCATATATTTGAACTAATGCTGGATTGAAACCCAAAGGCAGTAATGAATTTCGAAACCCCATGGTGAGTTACAGATCTTCGCTTCGTTACACCCACAGTTGGATTCTCCCAGTATGTGTGCACCTTTGATTAAAACAAACAAGAAACCCAGCTATAAAAATATGCAGGCTAAAAAATGTGTAAGAACTCTTTGTATTTAAAAAGTCTTTTCTTGAGTGCCTTTCTATGATAGATTTTTATGTATGATACAGTCTCACTTAAAAAAAAAAATTTTTTTTTAAAAAGTTTGTGCTGCATTAAGTAGCAAAAGCTAAATGAATCCTTATGTCAGTTGTAGCATCCTACATGTGAGTTTCCAATACAGCATGTTCACATTACTGGATATTGTTTTGCTCTTTCAAAACATTCATGGTTTATCACCATTTTATGAACTCATGCTGCAGCAAAAGCCATCTGATCTGAATAACAAACAAAACCTACTTTGAGTTAAATCCTCATCTGCTGCTTAACTTTGAACTAAATGGATTCATCTCTAGCCCTAGAACCTCTATGCAACTGCCCTCTGTGTTTTTTATTAAGATGAGAATGTGCAGTCTTTTAAACCTGTACAATGAAAAGCTTCTGCTTTGATAATACCCCAGCAGAGGGGATGGATACGTGACTAGGTATTGCAGTTTTGAGTTACACAAGGAAGAAGAAATGGGGGTGGGAGAGAAGGAGCAAATTTGCATAGTGTGGTGGACCCAGCAAACCCTGAGAACATTGCTCTGTTGCACTAAGCTGTAATTCCATGTCAAATGTCCAGTTATTTACTGACCTGGCTAGGAGTGCATCTGCAGAGGCAAGACTTGGACAGATAGCAAAAGTCTTTATGGCTTGTTTAGTGCATAGGTAAAAGTGATAAAAGAACTTCAAAGATCTTAAATGTGTATAAGTACAGCACAGATACAGAGCAGTAACAGAAACTGTAAGCACAAAGTATTAAACATATAATGATTAATTTCTCTTTGAAACAGATGAGTGGTGGGGTTGGGTTTTGGTTCGTCTTTTTTTTTATGTGGGTGACTAAATTATACCTTCAATGAAGCCTTGAACACCTTAATTGACATAAATAAATGTCTTAACAGGCTGATATATCTTTTCTGAAGGCATAACTGGAAAACTTCCAGTTCCACAGATTTTTATATAGATGGGAAGACTGGCCCTGTTAAACAGTTCTGCTCAGGGATATTTGATAAATAACCTCATGCCTTTGTTGATGCTTGTATAGGTTTTAAGTGCCCAGCAGGTGAAGTCAATCGAGTTTTTAATGCAAAAATAATTCTTTATGCACACAAATGTTGGCAGGACCCTACCTTAATTACCTATTTTTTTTATGAGCTATGCAACAATGTTAGAGAAAGTGAGATATAGCCATACTTATTTTTTTCTGAAGGTCACTAACTGCCAGATTAGCATTTTAAAACTATTTTTTGTGGTGGTTGTTTTAATTTTATTAAAATACATGGAGAATAATTCCTCTGATTTTTTTTTTTTTTTTTTTTAATGCTGGTATTGGAATCAAAGATGGTACAGCAGTAAAGGATAAAGACTTGAAGGGGAAACCTCAGAAACAGGTCCAGTTCGATCCAGGGCAAGCTTTGGCTACCTGGAGAGTGAGGATATTTGCAGACAATAAATATGAGGCATCTGAAACATTCCAGATTGCTCTGTCTGATCTGGTTATGGCTGCCCTTGAATTCCAGCAATAGCAGTGGTTGAAATCGTGGATCCTGGTGATGGTACGTATCACTTCTCATTTCCTCAGAATTTGTGATTAGGTGCAGTATTGTTCACTTGTGGGTCTGGTGAGTAGCCGTATACCTCATCTGTCTTTGCTCATTGTGGTTCAGCCCTGTCTTAAAGCTTTACCACGCTGAACAAGGAATTTGTATTTCTTATTAAATCTCTTCCCTGGCTAAATTCATACTCTGTATATAACGTTATACAGGTGTTCAGCCTTGGTCCCTGTTGTGGTTTAGACCCAG